ATTAAGAATGGAAAGAAGTCATTAGCGAAATCGTCAATGGGAGAGCAAAGGCACGGGAACACCATCGCAAGTGCTACAAAGCCAGCAACAATAAATTGTCGTACGCGGGGTCACATGATTTTGTCTTGTTTGTCTCAACAGCGTCATAGGCAAGCAGCAATTGAAGCTCCGTCTTGAGAGGTACAATTGAAATCTGCGCAGAACGATCGACAGCTTCTCGATCTTCAGCAATATATCTTCAAGATGATCTTATCCAGGTCCTTTGCGCGACAACCGCTCAGATTAGCGAAACGGTGCCAGATCCGCTCAGTGTCTACCCTAGAAGGCAATTCTCATATCGTAAGTTCGGCAGCCAGAATGTCTGCCATTTCTCGAACTCACAATTACAGTATGTTTTCTCGAATAAACCCCAGAGTGGAAGTCATACCTTGTCGCTCTTACCTTCAGAGCCTGTCAATCCCAAAACAGCCATTGGCGTCACGTCCAAGTTACCTCCTTCGACGGACTCTTTCAGGGAAAATCCCGACTTCCTGAAGATTCTACAAGAGGTTATTTCTGAGTACGGCCACAAAGATCCGGACGCTATCTCTCAAGCCCAAGTTATGGTTTCCACCTCTGGGGCTAATCTAGGCTCGGGAGGAGTCCTGATGACGGGGCAGGGTGGCAGAAGACGGCGAGAAAGCAAGGATTCTAGTGGAGGAGCCAGTGGCCAGGGTGGTGTCGGCTCTGCTGGTAGAGGTGGATGGATACACGTTTCCGATAGCAGGAGACCCCCGGAGTTTGGTCGTATTGCATGGTAGCGATCATTTTCCCCGAGTTGTCCAATTTGAGCCACTAACAAGCTGGCAGGCCCGAGGATATCTTCGGCAGTCTAGAAGTTGACGCGAACGGGAAATTTGTCGGAGATAATGGGAACTATCAGCCAAGCGGTACGAGTATATACTTATGAGACAAACTTGGCTCAATTTTGAGCTAACCAGAAAACAGGCACTTACAGAATCGTTACCCGGGACGGGATGTAGGTTCCCTCGCCCTTTGACTGGTTCTGCAGCTGACATGTTGTGCTACAGACTCGGATTGAGTCCTTTTCTGAGAGAGAAGCTGGTTCAAAGACTATGTGAGCTACAATAGGGCAACCTCAGCTTCAAGTCGGGTGTTATACCAGCTATGTAACGCCATCATCTCACTTGTACTATAATACCACATATGTGAACACATTGATATGAAACTGCTGGACAGTTGGCTCGTTACATTCATGTCTCATTAGGTGATTCGACTGCTACGTCAAACTGCAGTCTCAGTGTCTGCGCGTGTTGAGGCTGGAATGATCTTACTGCAAGCGACGACGCCTTTCCCAGATTTTAAACGGCGCGGAAAGACTACGCATACCATCATGATGTCCGTGCAGTGGTGCTTGTCATTTCTGAAAAAAGTTTGTGATTCGCTGAGAACCGTCAGTCGTCTTCCCATTTGTCTTCTTCAGAGGCTTGTCGTTGCGCGTCGCACTTCGTGTTTTTCTACTCGAAGCGATCGTCTTCTGCTCAGGCTTAGCCTTCGGCTCATGAGCCTTTTCCGTTGGTGAGGGTGGAGGTGCTGGCTCGGTTTTCTGTTTCTTCCGAGCTTCATCTCCTATATCATCGCCGTCCGGAGGGTACTCTCTTTTGACGCCTGGTTCTGGCAGCGGAGCATTATCTTCACTCCATTGGCTGTCTTGAGTCTTGCGCTGCTCATCCAAATCTTTCACCACCTTTTGTTCGGAAGAGTGCAAGGTTTCCTTGGTGTCCTCATCCCTGGCGGAAGAGACTACTTCACCCTTCTGCTTCTTCGCATTGGCGAAGAAATTGGCGATATTACTCTTATTGTCCTTGCTGTTGATCGGGATGATGAAGTCGGGTGAGTTGTTTCCCACCTTGCCGACGTCCTTGGAGACTGGGTAGCATTCCAATTCTCCTTCGTACGGTTTCAGAATGGACTGCAATTCACTGGACCAAGTTGTCCGGCTGGGATCCAGCCACATCTTCATCGCTTCGCTGTTGGGCTCGAGTATCACTGGCATTCGATCGTGGAGAAATTTCAAGTACGAGTTCGAAGAAGTCGTGATGATGGTATATGTGTAAAGCTTCTCGTCTGAGCCTGTACTTAGACGTCAGCGGACAACAAGCATCGCAAAGATGGATAAGATTGAATACCTTCATACGACACGCAATCCCACAGTCCGGCAAAGCACAGCAAATCCCCGTCCTTACGCTTGATGAAATGCGGGATCTTCTCTTTCCCTCCAGGTCCTTTCTTCAGCCATTCGTAAAAGCCTTGGCAAATAACAATGCATCGCTTCTTTCGCTTCATGGACGTCCACATTCCGCGATCCTCGATCAAAGAGTCATCGCGACAATTGATCGTTCGCATAAGAGATCCGTATTCAGGTTTTCGCTTCGTCCAAAATGGTATGAGCCCCCACCTCATGCTCTGAATCTTGTACCTCCATTTCCTACCCTGGTCTTTTTCTGCACTGTCGACAGCTTCTGGAGATGGCTCCTCTGGGTAGTCTGTGGTATCTTGCTCTTGCGGGCCGTCAACGAAGCCGCGGTCAGAGACATCGGCTCGGTAGACAGCACCATTATACCCTGGTGCAAAATTGTACGTTTCTCTCACATCATCGTCCTCGGGTATCTCGTCAACCTGCATGCCTTGCTCCTGCAGATGGCGTCGGACGAATGCCATGCGCTAGCGATAAGATCAGCACTATGTAGACAACGAAGCACTGAAGCACTGGGATTATCGGGCTACGCACCACTCCAAGGGCATACCGTCCGCACATCTTGGATGTGTCGCGTTCCTACACCAGGTAATTATTGCTCACGTTGATACAAAATCGTATTATTGGAGATCAAGTAGATATCGAAAGAGCGATAATGCTGGCGCAGTGATGACTTCGACGTCATATCCGCAGGCGGAGAAGCTTGGACCACTAAAACCCTTGATAGATGCTGGATTTGAATTTCAGTCTTTCTCGCCGCGGTTTCTGGATCCATATCCTCCACGAATTTTACCAATCAACATCAAATAGGTGCCATTTCATGAATTGACGACACACAGAAAGATCGGACAATGTTCAATGCAGCATCACGGCGCGCCTGCGCCTTCATTTCGAGGCCGAGAAACCTACAATGCAACAAAGCTCTCTCAACACGTACGACATCCCACAGATATCAACCCGGGAACAGCACCAGACCATCACTTCAAAGACATCCACATTCCCCCATCTCGTTACTAGAACATACGCGTCCTCAATGCCGACATCTCAGCTATGGACAGCGGATGAAACGCGGCTTCCAGGAAGCATCAAAAGGAATCTGGCGCAAGAATCCCATCCTCCTCCCACTCGCCATTATCTCCCTCGCCGGAGCCACGGCCATATTCGCATATATATCCTACATTGAATTGACACGCGTCGGCCCGCAGTACCACAAATTTCCACCTCCGGTTGCCGAGTCGCTCCGGACGGCCGTGTACTACACTGAAGTTGATCTCAATCCAGCCAAGGCGCTGAAAGCATACAAGGAGGCTTTGAGGAAGGCGGTCGAGCTTGGCATGCATCCCTTCTCTGATGAGATGATAGGAATACATCTCCAGGTATCGATGATGCTTGAGAAGGCCGGGCTGGCGAAACCCGCCATCCAGGTTCTCGAGCGCGCAAAGACCGAGTGTCTGAAGTGGGTGGAAGAGGGTAGACAGAAGAAGGATGCACAGAAGACTGAAGCTGAAGGGAAGACGGATTCGATCCAGATCGACGATCCGGAGGTGCTGGCAATGCATCAGAAGATGAAGGAGCTGGAGGAGTACGAAGACCGCCAGCGAGACAAGGTACTGAAGAAGGTTGTCGGCATCCACATGAAACTCGCGGAGCTGTACGCAAGCGACTACATCCAGGACGAGAAGAAAGCCGAAAGCTATCAGGAAGCTGCGGTGGAACTGTGTCTGAAAGAGCTCCGCCGTCGCCAGGAGCTCGGGCTTCCCGTCGGCAGTGCCTCGGAAGACAACAGCACAGCCTGGCTGAACCTCTCCGAGATTGCCACTGCACTGACAGACCTGGGACAGACGTATTTGAAGCAGGAGAAAAATGAGCTCGCCATGCCCCTTTTGCTCCGCGCGCTGGACCTCCTGCGCACAGACGAGGGCGGCACACCCACCTGCAAGCAGGTGACCCTCCTCGCCGATGTGTCCACCGCGATCACCGGGGAACTGCACAAGAAGACTCCTTCCCGTGGGTCTCCTGCCGCGCCTCAACAACTCATCGACTCCGGCAAACAGTGGGCGCAGAAGGCTCTAGACGTCGCTGCTAAACTGCAGCCTCCTATCCGCGACGAAGAATGTGATGTGTCCTGTCTCGCGGCAATGTATAACCTGGGAGAAATTGCCCATCTTCAGGGTAAGCGGAAGGAAGCGGAAAAGTATTGGATGGAGGCCAAATCTCTGGCTCGAGGGTTGGGACTCGATGAGAATGTCGCCCATGTGGAGGAAGCTCTGGCGCAATTGAAGAAATAAGCGACATACCTGTGTATACCAAAGAGGCTATGACTGTACAATAGTACGAAAACAATTCAAGATGGCTATCGGCTATCAGGAGGCGTAATTGCCATGTTTCTGCAGGGAGTTGGCTCAAGGGCAGTGCACTAGGTAGACGCCAGGCCGCAACAGGTTGTGCTTTGCCCTAGGGCAGTGATACAATTCTGAAGAGTAGGAAGATAGGTATATTTTTATAGTATGTTTTTTTAATTGGTATTAGAACATTCGGCATGCCGACCTTGACAAGATTCCAGACGTACGAAGTTTATGACGAATCAAGTAAGCTAGACATGTCAGAGAAAAACCCTGGGCCCAGGCCCGGAGTGCTTCATTGCTCATGGCTCATACATCCCAACCAATGCCTGCGCTTTCTTTTTTTTATAACAAAGAAAAAACATGGATTTCCTCTCCTCCGCCTAAACGCTCGTCATCATCTATGCCCTCGACATGACACCCCAGGCACGGATCTTGTTGTCAGTGTAACCAGCGAACAGAGTCTGGCCATCAGCGCTCCAGGCGAGAGAGATACACTCGGGCTCACGGGCCTTGGAGCTCTTCTCGATGAACTCGGGCTTGAGCTCGTCAACCTTGCTCTTCTTCTCAAGATCGAAGATGGTGATGGAGCTGGCGGTGGCGGCGCAGAGCCAGTAGCGGTTGGGGGAGAAGACGAGGGCGTGGATCTCGTCGCCGGCGTGGAGGGAGTAGAGGTGCTTGGACTCGTTGAGATCCCAGAGCATGGTGGTGCCGTCCTTGCCACCGGAGGCGCAGAGGGATCCATCGGGAGAGATGGTGACGGTGTTGATGTAACCGGTGTGACCGATGTGGTCGGTCTGGAGGCGGCAGGAAGCGAGCTCCCAAACCTAACGGGGGCGTTGTGTTAGCTTCAATCTCCCAGGGGAAATAAATGAGCTAGTCCCATGTAAAAGAGTGCAAAATTGCGAAGTGTCCATCAGGGCATTGGTGATTGTTTGTCTCATGGCCGTGGAAGGCTCTGAAGTAGCAAATACGTTTTATGCAATACATCATTTGGGCAGACTGTTTCGGATTCGAGTATACATTGCGCCAGGGGAGACCAGATAAACATACCTTCACAAGCTTGTCCCAGCCAGCGGAAACGATGACGGGGTTCTGGGGGTTAGGGCTGAAGCGCACGCAGGAAACCCACTCGGTGTGGCCCTTGTCGGTGATGGTGAACTTGCAGTCGCCGAGGGTGTTCCACAGCTTGATGGTGCGGTCACGAGAACCGGAGACGATCTGGCGGTTGTCGGCGGAGAAGGAGACGGAGAGGACGTCGTTGGTGTGGCCAACGAAGGTACGGGTGGTCTCGCCGGTAGCGAGCTCCCACAGGCGGAGGGACTTGTCCCAAGAGGCGGACAGAGCGTAGGCACCGTCGGAGGAGATGACCTGCACGGAACAACACACACGCGGTCAGCCAATCTCTCTTGCCATTTTCTTCGGCTTCCTCCACCAGCGGTTCCCAGTCCTTGTACTCTCTCTAAGCTCAATGGGATCTCGGGTAGCATACACAGTCAGAGACGATGTGGGAGTGACCCTCGAGGCTGCGCTTGGGGTAACCGTAGGCCTGCTCGTCACGGGTGAGGTTCCAGATGATCAGGGTCTTGTCGCGACTGCCAGAGAGCAGCATGTTGGGGCTATTCGAAAGAAAAATCCAAGTCAGAATCTCTTTTCCAGGTGCTCAACCAATGCCCAAAGTCTGCAAAACAGAGGTTTCTCCATTCTTTCGGCATATGATTTTTCTGCACTTTTTGATCTTCGGTATTCCCTTACTTCTCCAGAGAGGTGGCCAGGGAAGTAACCCAGCCATTGTGGCCCTCAAGGGTACCACGAAGAACCATCTGCTCAGCCATATTGACGATGAAGGGGCCGCGAGAGGAGGGAGGAGGATGAACGCGGGCGGAGCAATTGTCGTTGACTCTGGGCCTGAGATAAAATCGCAGCGCTCGAGGATGGAGGAGCAGAACCAGCGTTGCCCGCCTAAGCCCTAAACTAGCCCGTTCTGCCGCTGGTTGTGTGGTCCACAAGCCCTAAGCCTAAGCGAGTCACATGACCCGCCTGAACTATACGGATCATCAGAGTAGGTAATTGTCGTGGTATATAACAGTTGGCTCCGTTGAACTCATGTGGCATCTTGTCACTTTTCTGCAATCTAGAAGGTTGGGAATGAGCTCATTCATCCAGTATTGCGATTCCGGAGTCGACCAAACTGAGCAAGCAACCAGCAACCTAGCATACGCCGAGGATCACGGTCAGGTACCATGAGATACCATTAGAGACAATGTTGCGAAGACATCGATATCTTCAGTAGAGCTTATCAAACAATTCAAGGCATACTATAGTACAAGCTGAGATATGCAGTACACCAATATCAGTCCCTTTACGTCAAATCTTTGATCTGCCCATTAGTAGTAACAGTCGTCAAAAGCCTATTTATCAAAGACCTGGATGTTGGGCATTCTTCCCAGCCCGCCACCGGCCGTCTTCTTGTTCTTCGCAGCATGAAATCCAACAGCGCTCTTATCACGCACATGCTGTCTCAGAAGCTTGAGGACCTCGGAGTCGGCCCACCGCGAGGGGACGGGCCTATACGCAGCCTTATAAGCACCAACGGTCTGCTTCCACTCACCGCTCTTGGCTCCGGTGCGTTTCCAGGTCTCTGTGACCGTGTCCTCGGCTGGGGCGTCCGCAGCAGACGGGGGGTCCTGCGTAGCCCAGTAGTAGATGTCCCAGTCATTCTCGTCCAGGAAGCGGTCGTACTCCTGGAGCTGTTCTGGCGTCATATCTTTCAGATAGACATCGGCGAAAGTGGAAAGAAGTAGATCCGACTCGAGGATACCTCGCTTTCTGCTTTGGTCTGCAAATTTGTCACTCTATTAGCCTCAAGGACCGTAGGAAGCGAACGGCAAGAACCAAACTTACACAACAAGCGAGCCCTCATGGTCGCCGGGTCCTCTCCAGTTCGCCTCAGCGGCTCAACCTTGAAGGTAATCCCTTCCATCTCCCCAACCCCAAGCTCCGGTTTCTGCGCACCGGGCTGCTGTCTACCACCGGTGTAATGCTCAACACGGCCAGGATACGGATCTACCGGCTTATAGTTCGGATCGACCGAGCTCAAGAGCTCCGGAGGCGGGGTCTTCTCGCCGACACCGGGAAAGTCATTGGTCATGGTCGAAGTTGTATTGGGCACAGCTTGGTTTGGAGGCCTCGAAGTCTGGTATTTGCGGTGCTCCGGAGCTGTAGACGGCGCACGATCCTTCCCATTGCCATCATTTGAGCGAGCTGCCGAGCTGCCGAAGGAGCGTCGGGCGATTGATGCCGTGAGAGAGAAAGGCGACCTTGACGGCCGCGAGAGGCGTTGAATGAGTCGTGGGGCAGACATTGTGAAGCTCCTAGTCAAGATGAATTTGAAATGAAAGTAGTCAATGAAGACAATGTCGAAGTTAGGCTCATTAAATAATGACGGAATTGACATCATCCGCGGCAATGCTGCGTGCTGTTTGCAGCGTTTGCATAGATTAAACATGCCAATGAGATCGTTACAGCTCGAGTATGAGTCGAAATTGATTGTCACTACCGACAGCAATGATACAATGTCTGTCAACTCGATGGATTTGAGGATTTCAGATATGACTGCAAGTTGCAATAACTTGGTCTCATCGGCAGGTCCCTTTCATAGCTACGAGTATCGGCATCTCATGTTGTAGGACCCCAGGACAGTTAAGGTGACGGCGTGAGATACGCATCTTTAGGTGATAGAATACTACGAAACCAGAGAACACATCGGAAGCACTTCTATTCATCACAGGTGTCATTTCATAAGTACGGAAATCGAAGCAATGCACCATAAATATACCTGAAATTACAAGAGGCCGAATCCATCAAATGCAACTGAAACTCCGTGCCTGTCATGCAATTCAAAGGAGAAGCAACTATGAGCATCCTTGTCCACATGACAGATAGGGATCCAAAACACAGCACAACAAGGTCTCAGATGAGATGCTTCGATCTGTTCGAAAAGAGCAGCAGTTAGCCACGACACCATCAATCCACCCCGACGACGGACAAGAGCGGTACAGGAGCTCAACGTACCTAAAGTAAGCCCTGAGGTATACGACCTGCCAAACGCCCAGTCCGATCAACATTCCCATAGTGCCAAAGGCGAACCACTTCACGCGCTCGTTGGTGCTCTCGTTGGTATCCCGCAGCTTCTGTTCGCGGGCCCGCAGGTATTCCATCTCATTGACAATCTCCGCCACCATCTCCTCAATACGACGGAGATCAGTTTCGATAGGCTTGAGCTTCTCCTGAACCTGAATGGTGGACCAGTCACGGGCATCGGCACCAATCTCGATATCGAGCTCGACGGACTTGTAGGGGTTCGCAACGCCCTCTGGACACGTTCGGATCAGCTACCGAGCCAAAGGAGTCGGGTCAAGGTATCATGCGCAGCTAAGTAAAGCAAGAGAAAACTCACGGTGAGAAACCAGCTTATTCTCGAAGCAAACATCAAATGCAGTGTCCGCAACAGACGTGAATGACTGACGAGTCTCGCCCGCGATATCCTTAGGCCGACCATGGTCATTCCCAAGCGCATCCTTAATCTATTCCATGGAAAACAGTAAGCATCGCTACAGTAAACCCGACAGCCCGAAGGTAGCCTATGACCAAACCCAAAAATATCCCAGGGCAGTGGTAAGATCAACATACATGCATATTCACGACCTGCCCATCACCCTTCTGCCCGCTCACAATAGTAGTCACAACGACCAATTGGTCCTTGAAGACGAAGTTGCGTATACATCGCTCGTTGTTCCCGCTGCTGGCGTGCAAGTCGAATTTCAAGGCGGAGGAGAGCTGGGCAAGTAGCAGGAAGAAGATACCGAGGAGTGTCCTCGTGCTGGGTTGTGAGGAGCTCCCCATTGTCGATGAGTAGATTGTCCCGGTGGGCCGACAAGGAGGTCGTGGCTTTTTCTGTTGGTGTATTTGAGCAGCGATGGGCTCTCGAAAGCGGTACTACTACAACATTATTGATGCCACGCCGCGTCTACGGAGAGGGCTCGGAGTAAAGATTTTCCGTATTGTCGGAGTAGCAAGCATCAACTGGCTTACTATGGTATGTCATCGAATTGAAGACATTGAAATGATTTTATCAGACCGTCTTCTATGGTATCGCTTTGGAAGGAAAGTCTGAGTGAAGGGTGGACGATGCACGCCCAAGCCTCGCTGCGGACGTCAACCCTGCACTACCGAGTCTCTACCTTTGATTGACTGACAATGAATATAATCCCAGATGGAGACGAATTTATCCTGAGATAAAAAGAATGGAGTGGCTCAAGCGACCGCCAGAATAATGGCCGATCCAAATATTTTATATACAATTGTACTCCAGTTCAGGCCTCTCCTTAGCAGTCCAAATAGTTGAGACGCAAACTAAACAGAAGCGGAGAATGAATCAAGAAAGGGAACAGGTGACGTAGCGAAGTGAGTGCAGCGCGAGAAAATGCCAGTAAAAGCTTGCATGTGCAAAGAAGTTGTAGGCAAATCACTGCAAGGAGTAGACTAATCTATCATGAAGAAGGATAAGACGCAAGGAATGTTTCATCACTGGCTTAAAAACGCTCAAAGACACATGTCACCTGCCAACCATATAGCATTTTCATAGTCGCCAAGTAATTGGAAGAGTGATCTAAATCAAGGTGGGAGAAAACCGAAAAGAAGACGAAAGGGTATATAATCTGATGCTTCAAACTTCAACCTTCTTGCGACGAACAAACAGACGGGAAAAGCCACTCGAATCTTTGCCTCTGCTGCCAGACAAGGAGGGTCGCCGGCCAGCAGGAGGCTCCGGCGGACCTGTGCTCCTGAGAAAGCTCGCTAACGCACTGGTTTCGGTCTGCTTCTCAGACACGGTGGACAACCCGTACCCAGCATGCATAGCTCCTCCATTACGCTCCATGCCAACCTTGACGGTATAATTCGACTGTCCCGTCACGTAACCTTCCTGTTGTTGACGCAGCGATGATTTCGAGGATTTCATGGAGAGAGTTCTGTCAAAGGAAGTATTACGAAGCAGTCGTGCCTTCATGGTTGAAGCACTTCCAAATCCTGAGTAAGTGCTTTTCGATGTAGGCATGTTCAAAGCCAGAGGCTGTGGTTCAACCTCCGGCGGAGGAACGTTGCGAAGGAAATCTATCAGGCTTTCTTCCTCACGCTTAGGCTTGGAGGATTCTAAAAGCTCTTCAAGATATTCGTCGTCGTCCGAATCATCAATGGCATAAGGATCTCGCACCCGACGTTGTTTACGCGCTGGTTGAGGATCGGTAGAGTCCCTGCTGCTCGACAGATTAGCCGCATTGACCGAGGAGCCCGTCTGCGCAGTTGAACGGTTGGCGGATTCGAGAAGAGCCGTGCGAGAACCGATGGAAGTAAGAGACCGAGTAGCCATTGAGCCTCCCTGTGTGCTAGCAACAGAAGGTGCTCCTTTTCTCAATTCGTCCATGTCCATCGTCTCCCGAAACGAGGCAATTGTGCGTGGGACCTGGTGAGCTCCGCTATTCGGCGGTCCTTCCCGGAGAAATTCAATCAATTCGGCTGTCTGATCCCCTCGTGGTGCCACGGCTGAACGCGCTTCCAGACGTGGAGCGCCGCTGCGGGGGGCGCTCCTGACTTTCTGCTCGGGACCTACGCTAGGTATTTGGATGGGTACATATTTCGCCCTCTCGGACGACATAGACTTCGATGCCCTTGGAAAGTCGGTCGGTTCCCTAGAGGATGATTTGGAGGTCCTTGGCCTAGGTGTTTCGCTTCCAGGAGGGCCAGTACTCTTAAGAAAATCAGCCAAATCCGCGGTTGGTGATCGCTGAGGTCGCCATCTTGGAGAGTCCAGGTCCTGTTTCAGGCGTCAGCTATGGGGTTCTGCAAAAAGAGAGTTTTCAGGTTGAACAAACCTCCATATCCCTCATAGTTTTGGGTGTCAGGGTATAATGAATCGTCTCCTCGCTCTGAATCAATTCATCCAATCCCGACTTATCATCATATACCGAGTCAGGAGTGACAGCGGATGCTCTACTGGTTTCTGAAGAGCTGCGAACAAGGAAAGTCGCGGAGTCGGCTTGGCGACCAATAAGGCCCTTGAGCTTGCTTGAAACCTGCGACGTAGTTGACCCGGCAGTGACTGGACGCTTCTCACGATGGCTGCTGAAACTGTCGGACCGGCGAGACTTTGAGTAAGTAGATGAGGCTATCGAGGTTGAGGGGCGTGATAACCGCTGAACCGCTGCGCGCTCAGTTACAGAACTGCCAGGGGTAGCTAGCCCCGGACTCGTCCGCCCGAAAGACTGCTGGCCTGCGGTGTTCAAGGACAAGGGACTGGGTACGGGCCGAGTCCGTGGACGATCAGGAAGAGTTGCCTCTCCGGCTGTGGAAACCGGTTCGGCGACCTCTTTTCTGGAGGATTCGGCTGGGACCGGTGACGATCTTGAGGGTTTGCCCTCCGCGGTAGAATCAGACGCCCTAGCAAGAGGGGCTTCTGCGGCGGATGAGTCCTCATCAGAGGTCTTGGAGGCGTCAGAGCTGCCGGCGGGGTGAGACGGCGTGGGGCTTCCCCCTTGCGTCTGTAGTTCATGTTCAACGACAGTCACAGCCCGTGGCGCTTTTTCTTCCGTTGGCGATGCAGGGGTATCCTGAGGAGGATCCTTATTTGTAGCTCGTTTTGGTCGCTGCAATGCAGCCAACTTTGGCTTTTCGCGTAACCCACACCCTTCGATAACCTCAGGATCTAGACCTTGTTCACCGCTCAATGATGCCGTTGATGCATCAGTGCTACTGATTTGGCTTGTGATGGCGTCAACTGAGGCTGCTGACGGTGAAGATGCGGTGGCCGCATCCTGCACAACAGCAGAGCCGGTCTGCTCGCCGGATGCATTGCCTGTTTCAAGCTGCTTGACTTGCGGTGTCACTGTGACTTTCTGTGAGACCGATTCGTTTGGCACCGCTTGTTCGTTATCCTCATCGTGCTCATACATCGTCTCCAAGCGCTTTCGTTCTTCAGTCGTGGTAGGGGAATCTGCTTGAGGAGTTGGGGCATCTGTTGGAATATCATCTTGGGGATACGGGTTGCTCGGTAGTGATCGCGATCGAACGTGACGAGTAACTCTGGCACTCTGTGCGCTGAGGGGAGTAACCGGAGAATTCCCTGTCGATGAAGGAGATCTTGGAGATGCCAGGGTGAGTACCATAAGGCTGTGAGGTCGCACTTTGTGAGCTATGACAGCTTGCATGGTCTGAACCTCTTGTAGGTCATGCACCTCGCTGCCATCCAAGTCAGCTACATATCCCGGGATCTCAATCTCCTCGACATCGTGCTCGCTCATTGGTAGA